TTGTCTGAACAGTCATTGCCACCTGAAGCAATATCAATTCCTGTTCTCCCCTCACTTTATGGCAAGTAGCTAGCTACAGTAGTCCTCAACTTTAGGACACAATTGAGCCCAAAATTTCTATTACTCAGTGAGGCATTTTTAAGTGAGTTTTGTCCCATTTTATGACCTTGCTTGCCAAAGTTAATCGAATCACTGCAGTTGTTAAGTAACATAATGGTTAAATGAATCTGGTTTCCCCATTGATTTTGCTTGTCAAAAATTCGCAAAAGATGATCACATGACCCTGGGATGCTGCAAGCATAATAAATATGAACCAGCTGCCAATCATCTAAAATTTGATCATGTGACTACAGAGATGCTACAACAATTTAAGTGTGAAAAATGGTTGCAAGTCACTTTTTTCAGTGTCATTGTAGCTTCCATCACTAAATGAATGGTGGTATGTTGGGGACCACCTGTGGTCTGCAGAAATGAATGCTTCTCCATCATCCAGTGACTTTCATTAAAGATTTGATATTCCTCATCTTCTGTTGTCAGGCATTGGAAATATTTGTAACTACTTTAGGTAATAATTAAGCTATAGTTATGGTATAAAAAGTGAGATGATTGCACTCAAACTATTTTCATTACTATGATAATATTAAAGAGAGTGTAAGTTTGGTGTAATGGTTAAGGCATCAGGCTAGAAACCAGGAGGCTCTCTTAGTTCTCTCTTGGGCCCAAAGCCAACTGTGGCTAGGCTAATCACTCTCAGCCCTGGGAAAGAGGCAATGGCAAACTGTTTCTGAAAAACTTTGCAGAAAAATAGCAGGCAGCAATCATAAATTTTTTTTATGATTGAAAGGAAGGGGAAATATTGAACTTGTCTTTGGTTGATGTAAAGAAGATTCAGCAAATTATACACACACACACACACACACACACACAAAAGGTGAAATACGTTTGTGCTATTATGTACTATATATTCTTATAGAGCTCTATTGCTGATTGCAATACAATTTAGATCTCCTCTACCATAGTCCAAAGTTCCATTCACAACACTGCTTTGGAATCCTACTACTAATATCAGGCTCAATAAACTAGGCACTAATACTTCAGACAATGGGAGAGAAGAGCTTCAACCCAGTAACAGTCTGTCAATGAGGCAGACTATCATTGCCTCCCTTTATATCATCAAATTACTGGGTTCTTTTCTACCCACTAACAAAGCAATAATGCAGTAATTTAATAATTCATTCAAAATATCTAAGCTCTGTTAATTACTGAAGTGTAATTTGAAATAAGCAGTTTGGAATTTGTTCTGCTTACTCTATCACATGGATGATGCAGATATGATTAATTAAAGTTCATATTAATCATGATAAGAGCAGGTATAATTTGTCTAATGGCTCTGGCTCTAGAGATCTTAGTTTTGTCTCGTACAGTTATTCACAATCAATAGAAAGTAATACAACTGATTGTTGAACTCATCATTTATTAGAAATTCAGGCATTTATATTTTTCCCAACAGTAAAAGCTTTAACTATTATACACAGTGGAAGGAAGGATGCAAGCTATACATCTCAGAGAAAAGAACTCTACAGTTGCACTATAAGTTTACCAGATTGCTTCAGGATACACTGTTATAGTTTACAATTAAAATCAAGGTTGACCCAAAACATTTGCCTTAAGGATCAAGACTAGCCATGAAGATCCACAAGAATGAATGAGGAATAAAGAAGGTTCATTTTTTTCATGGTAAGGTTGTGCTGTTATAAGTCAAAAGGGAGTAAAACACATTTGTCAATGTGTTGTTTAATTTTTTTTTAATATTCAGCAGGACAAAGCAGAGAGAATGAAGGCAATGTAATAATTTCTACATAAGTCTCTGCTTGAAAAATGTACAAAAAGTCAACTGCAGAAAAAAACTATTGCTAAACATTTAATAACTCCTACTTAATTGAAAATTGTGAGTTTAAGGCATGAGCCCCTTTCCCTTATCAACATTTTAAAAATTTAACACCTCAAGTGATGAATGAATTGGATAAATTATGTAAAAGAATTACCCTGCATCATTACATATTTGAGAGAGAAAAAAAATCATGCACGTAGAGCATGTTAGGTAGCACAAATGAAGGAACATAGATATATTATGCTTTCATAGCAGGGGCCTTTAAATCTGGTAGCACTGAAAGGCTTCTTTTGTGAGCAGCTATCTATCCCTTATCTTAAAACACAGGGTGAAGTGACAATAGTGTGTTGTTCACGACACTTTCCCTTAGAACAACATCTTTATCAAAATGCTTTCTTTAATAATATCAAGAGTTTCCATTTTATTTACATTAGGATTTATCAACACAAGATAAAGTGCTAAGTTCCCAGTCTCTCCCTCCCTACCCTCAATATTGTATTTGGCTAATTTATATATTATAAAATTTGAATACTGCTTCATAAATGTCTCTCAAACAAATCACCAGCTGCTTTTTTACTTGAATACAACTTGCTCTTTTTATTCTTTTATCAAAATATGAAAAATACTCTTGCACTGGACTACTTTGGCTTTAAGATGTTTTCCTGACCCTCACAGGAAATATTTATTGGTAAATCTGTCAAGGTGGCAAATTTACAGCATTCTGCAAGAACAGAGGCCTCTTCTTTTCAACCATAATTTATGGCATTAGTTGCAAGAGAAAACATTAAATTTAATGTAGGAATCTGATATTAACATTTACATCATAGAACCACACTTGGAAGCTAAACCACCAGACTGAGATATCCTCCAAAACACTCCAACTGTACCTTGCACCAGGAATTCATAAAAATGTTGTTCTAGTACTAATTGTCATTGCACTTCCCCTTCCCTTTGCTCTTTCCTTCATTCAAGGGATGAACAAAATTTCTTGTGCTATTACTACTATCATTATAACTACAACTAATGCACAGAGGACAACCATCTTTGATGAAGTTAACCTCATTCTAGAAGATGTGCCATATTAAAATCTTCGGCTCTGATGCAAAGCCCATTTAACAAGTATAAATCGTCTGTTAGCTTTCAGTGGGTTTGAAGACCTTTGGTTTTGAGTGAGCTTTATTCAGTACTGCTAGTCAGCAGTATTATCTACAACTACTAGACAATGTGGGAAGTCACTCCCAGGCCAAGGTTTATTATTTAACAGCTTAAATCCAATGTAAAATTGATGTTTAACAAGAGTCAATAAAATACTACCCACCAGTTTCTATGAATAAACATGCCAATCTGACTCTTTTTTCATATATACTATTAATGTTAGATACTGTTTTAGGATTCAAATCCTCTGAAGCTCAAAATGATGATCAAGGTTTTATTAAAACCACTAGGAATTTGAAAGTTTCCTTAAATGGCATGCAGCATAATTTGCCATTATTTTGAACTGCATGATGGTGTTTTTGGTGATGCAATACTAGATGTTCAAGAATCACAGGCAACTCCCTGAAAACAAACAAACAAACAAACACACACACACACACAAAATTATATGTTGTTAAAATCAACCTCTAACACTAAATGTCATGAAAAACTAACGGCCCTTTCCTTGTGCCAAGATATTTGTACAATACTTGGTCTAGCTGAGAGTAAGGCAAATAACGATATATCTAAAAGACACGTCTCAAGAATTCTAATATCAGTTATTCTTAACATCTTACACGAAAGTCCTCAATTTCCTCATAAAATCTTTTCTTTTTATAAAGTATGACAGCAAACCTTGTTATGTGATTTAGGAAACTACTTAATCTGATCTCCAAAGCAACTATTAAACTGATTGCTTGTGTAAACAGCTAGTTGTTGCAATTTTCTGTAGTAATTTAGTTGCTGAAACTTTGTTATTTGCATTACAAGTCCTAACAATATAAAAATAAAGGTGGTCATAGGATGCCAATCTCTGTTGAGAAATTATGTCATTGTCATTGTATTTCTAATGCGAATATTGAAGTTACAAATATTCAAATACAATTTTGTTACACATTCAGTTATAAAAATCATTTAGCATATTTGATTTCTGGTTTAGCATTTCAGGGAAGGAAGCAGTGGGACTTGGTAAACTTTAAAATGCAAAGCACACTCTGAAATATTTTAGTTTTCGTTATATATCCATGTTTTTTTAAATTTAAAATGTACATTAAAAGGGGCATTCAGTTAATTGGAGTAACATAAATTGGTGATCTATTTGCAACAAAAATAAAACATGGCTATATAAATGAACTTTTGCATTTGCTGAGATGTGCATTTTGGGTTTTCACATCATTAAATTTTGGGGGGAAAAACTACCAAAGTTTGTCTCCTAGCACCGTATAGAACAACATTTTATCTTTATTTGGACTTAAAAAATGTTTTTAAAGATTTTTACAAAATTTTGAAAAATGTTTTTTAGGACAGAAAGAAAGAACTAAGAGGTCCTTAATTCAATATTAACAGTAAATGTAATGTGAAAACTGCTAATGTAATGTAGTTCTATGCCTTACTTTAAACAACTGCTGAATAATGTCAAACTGATCCAGAATGTTTACTATATACGGTAATCTACAGGACATTTTAAAATGCATTTATGCCTTTCGGCATTACAAAATGTGGGAGTAAGAGACCCAAAAGATGTTAAACTCCAAGCAGATTAGGACTTATAGGAAGAACTATTTAGAGTAGACTATAATGTCATCTTCCCCATATAAGTAAATGAAGAACAAGCTTTGTGTGTGCACAGTGATTATCTGGACTGTGGGCACTCTGCATTTTAAAACATGATACCTAGAACAAATAAATGGCTCAACATGGCATTTGTTCTCACTACCAAAATGAAGATAAATTGAAGCCACTGCCAACTTTATTAGTTATTACTGTAAAGTGTTTGCTTTGTAGTCTCATCAGGACTAGACTGAGATTCCAATTACTTAAAAAGAGCTCCTAGCAACTTGAAATTTTTTCTAGCTTCAATTTGTGTGTGTGTGTGTGTGTGTGTGTGCATTAAAAAATCAGGAAATAGCATGAATCTGTGGCAACAGCTCTCTATTCAATAGTTGGTTTGAAAAACAGACATTTAACACATTAGAATTTGTGTAGTCATGACATTCTAATAAATATTAATGAATGAGTTATGCTGGACAATTTCTATGTTTCAATATAAAAACTGATCATATATGCAAAAAAGCTAGGATTAGAAATTTTTAGCACCCATGAAAATCTGAGATATTTAGTCTCAAAACAAGTAATTTTATGTGGTTTAAATTAGAATTTAGAAATTTTACCTGGTCTGTGCCTTTAAATACTATGTATGAGATTCTATTCAAGAATGCCAAATTCATGCATGGTTTATGTTACAATCTGTAACATAAGTAAATTTCTTAAACAGTCATTGCTTTGGGCTTCTTGAGTTTGTTTTGATCTTTCCTTCAAGTTAAAGACCAGGCTTTGAAACTGCAAAGGTTTTCATACACATTTTGAAATTAAGTATTATTATATGGGATCAAACTTTGCTTTTTCCTATGTATATTTTAATTTACAAAAAAAAATCTTATTTTTTTAAAAAAGTATTTATAATGCACCTGATGCTTTTGTTAATATTACACTTGTCTGAGTCCATAGTCTACCTAACTTTCATTCCAGTTTACTGCTTTCTGTTTTCTGATCCAATCTGCTCTTGTTGCTTTTTACCATGTAGATAAAGTAAGCAAGAGTTTCTTTTTCATTCACTGGGATGTTCCTGAAGTGACGACTGACAGTCTGAAAAAAACAAATAATTTTTTAAAATAAAAATATTTTCCTAGAAGGAAAATGCATGTGGAAATCATAAAGTTTTCACTGACTTACTTCTGCCAACTGAGCTTTATTGAGACCAGGTCTGGTTTGTAATTTGTAATGTCTTTTGTAACGGCGCAAAGTGTTTACTTGAAGCTGAAACAAGTCAACCTAAAAAGTGGCAAATGAAAATATATATATTTAGTTTGACAAGTGAAAAGAGTTAAACCTCTACAATGCATTGCATTTTAATAGCAAAAAGCTTCTTTACAATGTATATAAAGTTGCACGTTAATCTTTTTCCAGGATTATGTGATAGGACAGCCATGTGACCCAAGGAGAACAATGCAGGTGTTTTAAAAAATTGCAGGGGCAACTTTAGAGATGTAATGTGGTTCAACACACCTTTTCTTCAAAAGCACTGCATTCCTAAAAAACTATGCAGCAAAAGCAAGATATGACAAATCCTCTTTCCTTGAAATTCCTAAACACTTACTTGTACTAGGAAATTTGTAGATGATTACATGTATACAACGTGCAACATGTTTTCAGCATCATATAAGTGTTTTTGTTAAGTTTTTCTTCAGAATTTTGAATGCTATGAACTTAGAGAATGAAAGCAGGTATTTGAACAATATGTTAATACCTCAAAAAATTGTAGAACTGAAAATTAGGAGAAAGGGACAATTGGATTAAGTGATTTGTAACATTAAAAAAGCAAAGAAAGAGGACTTGCTAAAGTTACATGATGTAGAACATGACACAGATAGATGCTGAGTAGTGAAAGATTCAGGACAAATAAAAGTTAAGGACTTGCTCGAACTCTTCATGTTTATTCAAGATATAGTAATGATCATCAATGTGATAACATAGGGTTCCTTTATAAGGGAAGATATAAATTAGCAGATAGCTGCTGTGGCTTTTCTTGAGCAGATAACCAGTAGAAAGTTAAAGCAATTCAGAGACAGTATCAAGACAGTTTTAATCTGCTATATCCAAAATTGCTCCATTTTCTAGGAGTCTTAATTCAGGCTTGAATTGTGACCAAAAATTGTGAACGCTTCTGACTTCATGATTTACACTATTCACAAGTTTGTGTTATGGAAAAAAGATATAGCAATAGCACTTAGACGTATATACCGATTCACAGTGCTTTCCAGCCCTCTCTAAGAGGTTTACAGAGTCAGCATATTGCACCCAACAAAATGGGTTCTCATTTTACTGACCTCAGAAGGATGGAAGGCCGACTCAACCTTGAGCCTGGTGAGATTCGAACTGCCAAATTGCAGTCAGCTGGCAATCAGCAGTAGTCTGCAGTATTGCACTCTAACCACTGTGCCTTCGCAGCTCATATACTGCCCCAATGTGATTTATATGTTTAAAAATGTATGAAATCAGAAAGTTCTGAGCACTAATCATTAGAGTACAATTGTAATAAATATTATGCTGCTTTTAGGAAGTGTAATTAAATTTACAAAAATATAATCTGAACAGTAAATCTCAATTTTATTACATAATTCACCTCTGGAACATCTATTTCATGCTCTGGAGAGTCTCCCCCATCATCACTAGTTTTCCTTTTCCTTTTATTTCGGACACTTTGAATGAAGTTCTTGTGGAAATCACATATATATAAGTGTCTTACCTAAAATTAAACAAGAAAAATATTAAATAGCACAATGTTTACAACAGTAAAAAGAACAAAAGAAAATCTGAGAATTTTTAGTGCTAGGAATTTGAGCTCTTTTTGAAAAAAGGTTTTCATATGTTCATTTAAGAGCCATTGCTCATCAAAAAGGAGTGACAGAAGAAGAGCTACTTTATTTTTTCAGTTTTGATTCATTTTGTGTCACATTTTCTCAGCCCAACATCCAGAGTTGTTGTGAAGAAAATGGGAGGAGGAAGATGTGTTGGATATGTTTACCGCCTTGAGTTATTTGTAAAAATAATGAAGGCAGGATATGAACAAATAAATAAAAAAATACTTTGGCCCGTATGTAATGATATACTTACAAGTAAGAAAGAGGAGAAAAGTACACTGTGACATCACAAAACATATTTTTTTCATTTTCTTTTAATCTCAGCTTGCTGTAGAGAAGCTGCTAATAATCATAAAATCCCTTAAAATCAAATTTTCAAATAAAAAAATCAAGTATGTTAGAATTTAATAGAGTTAACAAGCCTCCCCCAAAACCCTTATGAGGAACTATTATGAAAGAAATTTAGGGAGGCATGAAAAAGTTGGGGATGACAATATTGCTATCCAGTATCGAACTGTGACAAATTCCAGTTATTATTAGCTCTAGGCTTGGATACTTCCTATAAGTTGTCAAAAATTGTTGGATTAAGTTGGGGTATAAATTAATAAATAAGACAACACTCCACATGGATCATTGTCCATTGATAAAAGAATCTGATTGTTCCTGAATTATGGTGCCTTTTTCTCTTACACACACACACAACACATAATACACATTTAGTAGACAACCTGTGACCCCTTGGCGCATCACTTCACAGATACTACAGTACCTTACCAGATTCCTTGATTGATTTACCAATGGCAGAGATTCTTATATGATTGAAAATTCTTTTAAATTGAGGGAGACATTAAGAGATATATCTGCCTTGAAAGTAACCCATTTTGATCCATATAGCGCAGTCAAACATTAGGAGTTGACTATATGATATGCTTTATGACATATTGTATTATGCCATTAAATGCCTTATGATAATTTTAGGTCATAAAATGCTTTATAAAATTAGACAAATTTCAATTCCACAGGAATCATGGATCCTGAATGCATTCTATAAGTTAGCTCATTTGAAGTATCTTGGTACAAGCATTTTGACCTATGATACACTGTTTCACCCAATCATAGACATGAGTGTTTTAGTAATATATATATATGAACTTGGCAGAATATTGCAGAATTATAAGAGGTAGTGTTGTATGCATGAAAGGGATTGAATGAAACAGCAGAAACTTCTAGTCACAAAACCTATTTCCGGAGCCTTACAGTTAGTATACTAATGAAATGTATCTAATGGAGTGAGTACTAGCTTAATTAAAATAACTCATTTAGTAGACAATTAACTAGGACTATTTTGGATATATTTCTCTTCAGAAAACTAGCCCACAGTTAACTTTTTCTACTATTGCTTTCATATTTTTTTGGCAGTAATTGTGTTGAAAGAAATGAAATCATTAAAGTTTATACTTCTCATTATATTTAAGTCCAGTTAAAAGCGTTAACTATAGACTACCTAATAGGTAACAGAAACAATCTTGCTAGACATCTACTGATACTTTATAGATTTTTTATGTCCTGTGAAGGGGAAACTGCCTGGAAGTAATCTCATTGCAAGTTTTAATTTAAAATGTTTAAGTAAAGTACATTAAAAGAGACCTAGAAAAAAATGCCTTCCACTCCTTTAATTCCTCAATGAAGACAGGTTTAATTTGGATTGTGCTTTATAGACAAATCCTAATATATAATCTGTATGAATACAAACAATTGTTACTACTACATATAATGTGTGAGTTAAAAATGACAGATGGCACAGTAACAATTGGTTGGCAGCACGTTAATTTGTTTGATGCCAGCTAAGAAACATCCTTGCTGCTTTCAATTTGACTGCAGTTCACTACTGGAGATTTGACAGTTTTTAAGTGAATTATTTCAAGACTACTAACAATATAGTACAGCAATTAAGATGTCAAAAGGGACTTTGATTTTAGTCTACCCTTAGACACAGAGGCACATACGTGCATTACCCTGAAAATGAAAAGCAGCATATACATCTAATAAATGAAACAACATTCTGAACTCTTTAGCTGGACATTTTATGGGTTAACTTACAAATATGTATATTTAGTTCTTTATCAATATTAGCATCTGAAATATGAGATAGCAGATACATAGTGATGGCTATTGATTACAAAGCAAACATTTTCTCTATTCTTAAATTACAAGTCATAAATAACTGGTCTCTAAAATACTTCTAGTATATTTTTATAGATAATGATATCAGCATTCTCGCCCCTAAAAACAGAATTGGGAACAGCTTTTCTTATTTTAGCTATTTAGATACTGCAAACTTGCCTTTCCCAATCACACCTTAAGTACAGTTCAACAACAGCTGCAATCCATGTACTTTCCCCCAAACAATATGAAGCTTCTATTTCCTTTTTCCCATCAAGTCTTTTTACCATCATGCACCCTAGAATTTCCAGGTAGTCTCCCATCCAAATATTTATCAATCTCAGTCCTGCTTAGCTTTATTCAAACCAGCTAGATGCTGCCACCTGCTGCGGCTTTGTGCTATTTTTGTCACTTCAGTCCTGAATGAAAAAGAGATTAACTTTGATACTATTGCTATTACGTTTATATGTAAGACAATCATTTTGCTCTGTAAAAAAATAACACCATTCTCTAAAAATATAATAGGATTTTAATGGTGGTGCCGTTTCAAGCACATCTCTATTTACACCGGCTTCTTTACTAGGATCATAAACCAACATACTTTCATTTTAATGCTGCATCATTCAGATTGTTCTTAACACGTTTTCCCAGCATAGGAAAATACTGCTTTGCTGACGCTGGGAATTCTCGCAGCAGCCCAGCAGAATTCGATAAAAAATGCTGCTCTTAAAATTTTAGAGCCATGTAATGCAGCAGCACTATAACAACAGAAGAGACAGGTTCGGTACACAATTGCGCGCGCGCACACGCACACACACCATGGTAAAGCTTCTGCGGTTGCCACTTACACTTTTGTCAATATCCAGTTTCAGCTTTTTCTGAGAGATGCTCTTTTGGATCCTCTTGCTGAAGGAGGCATTGCCAGCCGGGCGGACACAACGATCCCCGTCGTCGATGAGGCAACAACTTTGTCCGTAAAAAGGGGTGGTAGGAGGACCATCCCGGCTATCTTCCTCTGTGCTGAAACCATTCATCGCAGCCTCCCGCCGGCCTCGGTCGACGAAAGACCAACTTCGCCAGCCTTTGCGCTCGCCAGCCTCCGCCCTTCCCTCTCCGCCCGGCCTATCCCAATCTGGACTCGGCGGGCTTTTAAGGAAACATCTGGAGGGCAGCCGTCAAAGCAACGCTGGCTTTGGCCGCCTCCTCCGCCGGGCGGCTTTCCCAGGGGCCCCGAGGAGCCCCTCACGCCGCCATCCCGCCTAGGGGCCCCCGGAAGCGGTCCTTCGGGGTGGCGGCTTCCCTCGCCTCCCCGAGGAATCGCTTTCCCGCTTCAGCCCGCAGACGCACTCCGCCTGCCCCGACCCGGTGGGGACCCCAGCCTCGCAAGAAACCCCTTCGAGAGGCGGCGAAAGCAGGGAGGATCCCTCTCCTCGCCTCCTCACGGCCTCCCGACCCGCCGCCCGGCAGCCGGCCGAGGACCGCGTCCCTTTGGCTGCCTAGGTCACAGCCCCCGGAGCCGGCAGCCCGGTACGGGTGGCTGTGCCCAGCTGCCGGCCCCTTCCGCGGAGCTCGTCAAGCGGACGCGACCCGTCGCTCCTGAGCCGCCGGAGAGGCCACCAGGCCACGGAGCCCACCGCCCGCACCGACTCGTTGCCTCGCTCGCCTCGCTCGCCTCTTTCCCACTCCCTCAAACACAAAACCTGCCCGCTCCGCCTCTTTCGCCTCCAAGCGGAAGTCCCGTCCCCGGTCAGCCAGTGGCTAGTGCGGCTCGAGAGGCGGGGCTTGGGCTCCCGCTCAGACCAGGCATTGGCTGAGGTAGCTGCTCGTGCCGATAAGCTCTTTCCTGCGCGAGGGGAGGCAGCCGGAGAGCGTTTGAAGTCCGTGCTCAGGAACGGGCTGGGAAAGCGGAGTGGGAGTTCGGAGAAGGCGGGCGGGCGACTCCTGAGCTGCGGACCCAACTTCTGCAGTGACACGCGGGAGACCGTTAGCGAGAGGGCGGGGCAAGGCGGGTCGGGCGACGGTTGAGCGTTCGAAAGCCAGCGACTCTCGTGCACCTCAAAGGCGGAACTGCGTTGCGGAGCTCGGGCGTCGTCGTTGAAGTGGACTTTTGACCAGGAGTGCTTTGGGTCCTGCTTGGGCCGCCTTTTGCGTGTCTGGTTGCTGCAAACTAATAGAGCGTCCCCTCCGCATGGTCGGAATGCAGCCCTACCCGTGAAGGGGCAGCGGCGAGATCTCGGGGAGGAAACCGGGAATCCAAAAGGGTAGAGGGAAGGTGCGCGGCGGCATGGACGATCCCAGAGAACCGGGGTAAAATGAAGGCCGGGAGCTTCCTCTATCCCATAGAGACTCCATTGCAAAAGGTAGTGGACGTCCGGGTTGCAGCTCCTACGGATGTTTGAGGCTAAGATCGTGTGATACAAATTCTTGTGAGAAACAAACTGGGAAGCAGGTGGATCTCTGGAAGTCCCAAATATGCTTTTTGGAGAGGTAACTGGACTTTCTGATTTTTTGTTGAAGACGTTTCACTTCTCATCCAATAAGTTTCTTCAGCTCTCACTGAATCTCTAAACTTCCATCTGTCTGCAAGGAATATAAATCCTCCCATTCCCCACCATCCAGCCAGAGCTGAAGAACCTTCTTGGATGAAAAGTGAAAGAAAATAAGAGAAATAAAAGAAGAGAAGTCAAAGAAAAATCAGAAAGTCCAGTTGCCTCTTGAAAAAGCACCTTTGGGACAACCATGACCTGGATGACTGAGACTCTAAATAAACAGGGATCTCTGGAAGTTTTTACCTTACTATTTTTTGGCCTAGAAGTGCAGGCATGTGGGTCCCCATTGCACAAGCTGGGTTAGTCTATTGAAGATGCCATGACACTGGAGCCATAAAAGGGTTAATTATGCTGCTCTTAGGTTGAATAGCTGATTATTGGAATTTACTCCACAACAGAATGCAGTGATGCTTGGGCAATTTTGTTGAATATGTTTTTGTCAGCAATACATCTGCTCTGGCTGCCACACGCTGAGCTATGTACAATTGCCCAGTTGGCCCCAAGGTCACTTTTCAGAGGGTACATAACCTACAAATGAACAATTAGTAGATCACCAGAGTGCTCATCCCCCCTTGATGGCATGTAAATAATGAAAATTTGCTTTACTTTTTGAGTAGTCAAGAGAAACCTGGCGCCAAAAGTAACTTAAATCTTGTTTTACTTCTTAAGAGGCTTTTAACTGAAACTTTACAGAATTCTACAGATCTAGACCTTTTTTGTTTGTTTGTTTTAGTTATATTCCATGTTTCTTTCTGCTGAAAAAAATCTGTAAAGGAAGAAAACTATGCAGCATATTTATCTTTAAGCAAGGAGTATCCAATTAGTGGCCCATGGGTCTCATGCTGCGCTGGATCGCAATGAGGCCCACAATATTGTAACATTATTTATTTATTTGTACCTGACTTTATTTTTACAAATAGCTCAAGGCATTGAACATAACTAACACATCTTCCTCCTCTCATTTTCCCCTTAACAGTAACACTGTGAGGTAGGTTGGGCTGAAAGAGTGACTGGCCCAGAGTCATCAGCTGGCTTTCATGGCTAAAGCAGGTCCATTCATGGCCTGTTATTTCTAGCCTGGTACCTTAATCACTAGACCAAACTGGGTCTCAATTTTTATCACATATAATAATACACCTATTTATAACAAACACATAATCCATATATTATCACATTATTATACATTTTATATGCAGCCCAAAACAATTCTTGTTCTTCATGGCATCCCAGACAAGCCAAAAGGTTGGACACTCATTCTTTATGAAAGCTAGCAGCTGTTCATCTGGAAAAGCCCTCTATGTATTGCCCATAATCCTGCCACATATGTATCTTGGCCACCTCTGACTTCCACATGATGTTGCCCTCATCTTTTAGTACATGTATAAGGCAGCCTTAGCTCATCCTTTACTGTTCCACCTATGTTTGTCCTCTTAAGCTAACGGCAGCCCAGATCCTTTCAAAATGTGTAAAATTAGATGGAACAGTTTGGTATTCCATAGCCATTCCAAACTTGTGAGCATTCCCTCTCGCTCTCTCAGAACCCGAGCATTGTCTTCTATCTATCCCATTGTTTCCAGCAAAGAAAGCTGCGTACAGCTATTCAAAAGCCTACAGCTCTACCAGATATTTGAAGTTTTTCAATGGGTTCAGGAGTTGTGCTTTTTACCTTGTCAAATGCAACAAAGCAAGAGAGCGAGATCATGTCAAAATTCTACACATTTCTTGGCCCCATATGTGTTCCCTTCCCACGTTATTCTACTGACTTTATAAAAGTGGACTCAGCAAACACAGGTTACATTATTTGGACTTGCATTATTGAGATAGAGATGAGTGTGTTTGTCCTGCAAAACACCCATAGTAGATACCAATCCTTTCCAACCAGGAATGTGCATGTGCATGGGGATATGTGCATGTGCAGGGGGATATGAAGCACCAGACAGCCTCTTGTGTCTGTCTCAAAATATCTTGACATGTCAGCATGATCTTATGTATTTTCCAGAGCGAATGTGGCATAACAAGGAATCCCATTCCCCAACATGACATTGCTTCATAAGGAGACAGTTATAGCATGTGCACCTATGCCTAATACAAAGCATCTTTTTATCATTGTTCTTGTATTTCAGGCTAGGAATAGATGTTAGGACCCCCTATGTTATATAACACTGGATTATTACCCAAGGATTCATTTATTGTCCTAATAAGTTTGGAAATGCTACATTACAGTTTATGTGAAACATAAAATCACAAGCCAACACAATTATTTTTCATGCATGCATAAGGAATATGATTAAATTAACCATTTATAAGAATGATGTGACATTGGAAACAAAATAGCCTGAATAGCTCGTTTAAATAATTTAGATAATTGTACCAATCCCCATCCCCACCCTACATGGAGAGGCAATTTGATTTAGGGATTAAGGCACTCACCCTTAAGGGTGACTTTGGGCCAGTCACTTTCTGTCAGAAAGCAGGCAATGGCAGATCACTTCTGAAATCTTGCCAAGAAAACCACAGAAACTTGCAAAGGCAATCTCTAGGAATCAGACGTGATCGAATGGAAGAAAAAGAAACTTGACAATTAAAACATTTCTTCTTTTCTATCTTTGTTTCAATATTGTTTTCATTAAGGATGATATGTAAGGGCCTCATTCTGTTTAAGATAAATGATCTTTAATAAAAAAAACTTTCAAATGGCCCAAACACAGCAAATTTACACTATAACAAAAATGATCTTGATACAAATCTTAAATTTATACCAGCACTAGATATTAAATACAACTTTTCTTTATACTGTTATAATTTTAAAAAGCTTGGACTTCTGAGAAGAGGAAAAGAAATTTTTAAGTTATTACTTCAAAAATTAAAACAATACTATCAAGAAAAAGCATGAACCTTCTGGTTAATATTACCTTCCCTATATTTTTCTCTGTATAGAGGGGGAAGTGAATTAGAATAACTTTATTGTCACTTTCAATGTATATAAAGTATCAGGACTGGCTGCAAACAACTGTCTCATCTTCCTAGCAGTGATCCACCTCAACATTGCAGGAAGCCAGCAATTATTGAGGAACTGTCTGGTAGGATTAAAATAGTGGGGGCAAGGTGGTTTTGTTCTTGGAGTAATTCTTCTGTAGAGATAGATCATGTCTTCTTTGTACATGCTGAAAAGACCACCTACTTGCAAACATGCTGGTAACTACCGCAGGCTTCCAGCATGTAAAGGTTGTCTTTTTTCCTTTATATGTTAAAACTTACAGGCTCCAGAACACTGATGTCAGTCAATTGTACTGTTGGTCATGGATCTTTTGAGTAGATATTTACTAGTTCAAGACATCATTAGAGGCAGGAGATAATTGTATATCTTTTAACAATTATAAAATTAATATAGTTACTGTAGAGTATTAAAATGTTGTGTAGAAGCTAGGAATGACTTTAACACCGCTAGCCATGTTTAAATTAAACCTACTGTAATGCATTATATTTGAAGCTGCCTTTATGTTAAATTTATGTTTTACCAATAAAGAAATAAAGGGAGACTAGTATAGATCTATTTCAGGTTATTGCCCTGGTAGACAGGTCCCACCGGAGAAAAAATACTTGAAGCTACCTTTAAGTTGTTCAAACAATACCCACAAACTAGCCAATTTCATTTTAGCTAGCAAGTTGCATGAACCAAATCTGTGATTCTAGCTTTGTACATAGCAATAAAACTGGGTTAATTCCAGTTAATTTAAGCATGTCATGAATACATCTGGATT